CTTTGCAGTGGCCAAGCGAAAACCATCTTTGCATCTGTATCTCTGTAAATGTTGTCATACTCTTCTTAAGTGCTTTTAACTCATAAATTATTCAGATGGGAACATTACACTGCATATGATCACACTGAATAGCTGTGAAATGAAGAGTGGTGTACAGGGACTGAAGGGAAGTGTGTAAAAGAGACTTTGCAAGTAGCCTGTTCTGTTCCTCAAAATCCGAAATCTGTGAGGACTTCTGATGTCTACAGGGTACGAAATTGCTCTTGAGAGGTTTACTCGATGGGGAGCACTTTTCTCACCCTGCCATGCCATTGCTTCTGCTGAAGCATTGCAACAACACGCAAATACAGTTCATACTAGACTCTTCTGGGGTTTTGTGCTATTTAGCTATTTGTGCTTCATAACACTAAGAAGTTTAATATTGGACCAGCTTTCTTCTTTCCTACATAACCTCTACTGTCTTGCTTTGTTTTTATTTTGTTAACTCCTGGTAGCACCTAAGGCAGTGAAGTAATAAAGATTGTCGAAGACAAAATAAAACAGTATCACCTAGCTGTGGTTCAGCTGTCTCTGGTAACTGGCTTCTGCATGGACATGACACAAATTCCAGCCTATGTGAATAGAGCTTAGGACTGAAGAATTTCTGTCCTGCTTGCAGCTTTATGCATGCATTTCATGCTAACAACTTAATGTGGCAGTCACACAGAGCCTCCCTCCGCCTCCTCCCCCAATGCTGGTGTGTTAGGAGAAATAATTCTCACTCTGTGGCTGCAAAGGATAACGAAAAAATCCCTGTAATGCATAAACCAGGCACCCCTCACCGATTCAAGCTCAGCTGTGCTGACGAGCCGTGCTACAAAATGGCCTCACATATGACCAGGAACAGCACCTGCCATATGGACCACAGCTCCACTGAACAATTTTGTAAGGATGCTCACAGGCATGATTTACGGGAGGCAGGGATTGTTAGCATTCTGTCGGTTGTAATCTGTGCTCAAGTGTGCATCAGCAATGTTCGGATTTCTTTTTGTGCATGCTAGAGCCTGGAAGAAACAAGCTGTTTTCTGATTATAGGGATCTGAGCTATGTGCATATTGTTCTCAGTTACACTGTGTGTTTGATTACTAACATTTTGGAAATCATCAACTCTTCTTCTGGCAAAACCAATTCTTTTCTGCAATCTCACAGCATGAGCATTGTTGTCACTGAAAATGAGTTTTTCAGGATTGTGTTTTATACCACAGTTCTCTTCTTCCCTTAATTTAGTTTTCACCTGTATTTTTCATAGATGCTGCTAGAGTACATGTGGGAAAGCACAAACCAGGTATCATTCTGTTGCTTTCAGTATTAATATGTTCCTGCTGATAGTACCTGCTGTGACAGGTGGGAGCCCAGGTTCTGGAGGAGGTTCCCACAGAGCAAGTGACTCCACAAACACAGGAAGTGATGAGCTACACCATGGGAATTTACAGTTGAGGTGTATGTAATAGGTATATATCAAGTACTCAGAGCTCCATCCAACATGGCCAGGAACGCTTCCAGGGATGGGGAATCCACAGCTTCTTTGGGAAACCTGCTTCAGTGCTTCATTACTCTCACAGTAAAAAATTCCTTTCTAATATCTAATCCAAACGTACCTTTTCACTTTGAAACCTTTACCCCTTGTCCTGTCACTACATGCTCTTGGAAATGACCTCTTGTTATAAATCCATCAGAGAGTACAAGGGCTCAGCATCGCTTCAATCCTGCAAAGAGCTTCTGGAAAGGAAAAGTGTGATGAGCGCTGCAGTGTGCATCACTCAACTTCTAAATGTCTCTTCTGTGAATAGAATTTGGCAAAGAGGAGCCAGACAGCCAGACACAGAACTGTCACTGGCAGTTTGGGAGAGCCTAATTACCTAGTAATGTGGGAAAAAAACATGGCTTTGGCATGTTGAATTACATGGCTGGCTGTGGAAGGTAGAGTATAAACCAAAAACATATCCAAGTGGCTATGCAATTCAAACTTCAAATAATCCTAGCTATTGGCTCTGCATTGAACATCTCTGATCTGTCAGAGAAATTAAACTGCTCATCTTCATAGCATGAGCTTTCCAGGCTGATGTTTGTTGCTCAGGCAAACCATTCCCAGACACTGACATGTGTTGGCCAGGCCACAAGCCAACTGTGAACCCACCAAGTGTGGAGCTGAGGTAGAACTCTGTTTTTCCTAACTGAGCTCAGCCTCCAAATGATGGAGGAGAAAATACAAGAATGTGTGGATGGGGAGGAGGTAACACTGAGAAAGAGAAGCTGGGATGCTGGAGCATTCTTCTTGTCTGAAGAAAAACTAATGGGATGTGAAACCTCTGGCAGCAGATGCAGCTAGACAGGCATAGGATAAACTATTAACTGGAGGAAATTCCTATCCATGAATGTTGGCTGCTGCATCTACTGATCACAGCATCAGGCTGTGTTTCTGAGAGGACACAGTGATGTGAACTGCTTCTTGGGAAATAACAATGCTGAAGTTGTGTGCAGGACCTGAGTGTGCATGGCGTGAATAACAGATTTCCACAAGCCCAAACACTCTGAATAAAAATATACCATCTCTTTCATCAGTCAATTATTTATTTACTTTCAAGAAAGCAGGATGGGGCGAGAGAGTGAAAGACTAGCAGCAGATATTGGTACTCAAGGGCAGAATTAGAATTTTAATCTATGTCTGCTGCTCAGGAGGCAAAATTCTCAATATAAATGCTAAGTATTGCATGCTCTTATTATGATGGTTGCATGAATATGCATTTCTGCTGCTAGTGTGGGGACCCTGTCTTGTAAACGTTTGGCTTTGACACAGTCAGGGTGTGCCAGAAAGAGAGTTAAGGAGGGCAGCCAGCAACTCTACCTGAGGACATCAGCAAGAGAAGGAGCCAAGACTGGGATGGCTATAACATGAGGTTAAAACACAATTAAAGTCAAGTCTGGCTGAGATCTCCCACTGCAGGGGAGATTTCTCTCCCTCCACATGCTCTGGGAAACATGAACTTGGGGTTCACCCATTTCCTCTCCCCTCCCATGCAGTGGTAGGGACAAAAAGGACCAATTTCTGGGGAAGACAGATAGAGATCCCCCTAAAAGAGCACTAGCTGGAGGTAACAGGGCTGGGCTTTACAGTCACTTCGAGGTGCCTATGCAACTCTGCTGGGAAAACTTCTGCCTCTGGAAAGAGAAGAGGCTGAGCAGACTTGCGTCTCTTCCAGTATTGCTTCTCTTACCTCCTGCTTTCCTTAACTCCCTTCTCAAAGGTTTCCTGTGCTTAATACAAAAGTGTCTGCTGTGATCAATCCATTTGCTACTCTCGTCTGGCTGCCTCTCCTGTAGGATCTACCCAGTGTCTGGTTCAGCATTTAGACCCTGGCTCTAGGCTGTTTGTACAGCGTTAATAGTACGACAGCGTGGCTTCGGATCAGTCCCTTGTTGATGTCATCAGCAGTATGGGTGCTGGCAATGAAGCATCATCACTTACCGTCTCAGGATCTTGTTAATTACTACTGCTCAAGGAGCTTATTTATGCAGTAAATTATTGATGAAAGCAGCTCTGTGAAAACTTGAAACTATTGTGTCTCATTCTGCTAAATGACTAACAGTATGTGGAGCACTTGCAGCAAACACCATGTCTCCCTGCTCCAAAGAAAGGGAGGAGAAAATAAACAAAAGCACTTTCCTTGTATGACTGCAAAAGCCCAGAAAATATTTTGATTCTCCATAATCATATTTGATTTTATTGGGAACTATATACATATTGAGGAGTGACTGCACACTGGAACAGATTACCCTGAGAGGTTGTGGAGTCTCCGTCACTGGAGTTATTCAGGAATCATCTGGACACAATCCTGTGCCATGTGCTCCGGGATGGCCCTGCTTGAGCAGGGAGGTTGGACCAGATGACCCACTGTGGACTGGATGTCCCTTCCAGTCTGACCCATTCTGAGATTCTTTGAGTGATAGTGAGCTCCCAGCAGATATCAGGAGAAGACACTTAGCTTGCAGTGAGGAAACAGCAGCAGGTTAAATATAGGATGCTCCCTTCAAAGCATTGAATCCTCATTGTTTTATTTAGGGAGTATGCATAAATGGGATCTTGTTTGCATAAATACATTAAATTGATTTAAGAAAATAATCTGAGAGGAAGAGAAGTGTCTGTTAATTAATCCAGACCTGCCCCTTCTGGAAACACGCACTCTGGGCATTTGGACAGTGCACTGTACAGCATTACTGTGAGTATGACTAACAGCACCATGGGAGACTTTTGTCTTTAACACTTGCTTTCTTCTGTTACTTTGCAACTTTGAACAACAAATGACTCTTGAAGAATCTCGGTGGCTGAATTCTGTATTTCAGGTATGGCTTTGCCAGCGTAACTGTTTTCTCTATAAGATCATGGGAACAAATGCTCAGAGCAGGCCAAGAGCCATGTTCCTGGTGACTGGATCCGCTGAGGCCATCGGGACAGAGTCAAGAGGCTGCAAGAGGTGCAACCCATGGGTTAGAGGGATCTCCTTACCCAGCACGAGGTTTAGGTGGAGGGAGGAAAGGCTCCCCAGCACAGAGCAATTGCCCAGCCTGTGGTTGCTGCATCATGTGCGTTTTTCTGGAGATATGTTTACTCTCCTTCAGCTCAATTTCCTGCTGTCTGGCTCTGGGGGAGGAAGCAGCACAGGAAGAAGAAGGGAAAAGGGAGCTGTGTTCTGGGATTAGACTCCATCTGCTTTTGGGAGCCCTTAACAGGGAAGGAGACAAGAGCTGTCAGAAGGGAAAGTTATTTTCTTCTGGAGGAGGAAACCTGGCACCCACCTAGAAAGGCAGCTGTAGGTTGGGCAGCCTACACAAAGGAGGCTGTGGCAGTGCTGTTCCTTTGCTCGCCCTCCAAACTGTTTGTAGTCAGGCAGCTAAATACACCCTTTCTCCTGCTGCTGTTCACAAGTTGAGGGGCTGGAGTTGCACCAGGAGGTTCTCCAAATGGCCACAGGTAGGGTGGGCAAGGTTAATAGGGATCTCTGCCTGTGCTCCCAGCTATGCCTCAGCTTGGGATGTTGGTCCAGCACATGAATTTTGGCAGTAATGGAAAGAACAGGTTTTTAGTCTGGCAAATTGCTTTGTGTGGAGTCAAGGGTCTGGCTGCAGGAGTGGGGAGGATCTGCAGATGAAGCACCCTGCCAGTAGTTCAAGGCTTCCCAACTGTCTGGATTCAAGTACTGGGGATAGTGCTGCCAACCTTTAAAGAATAAATAGACAGCCCTGGTTTCTAGATGACCTGACATGATCACACTTCTTGAAATTGATTCACAGTCATGGCTCAGAGTGCCCTGATGGCCATATGGGACAGCAAAGACAGGAGGACACAAGGGCTGTCTGAGGAGCTGACATGGGTTGGGCAGAGACTGTATGAAGGGGATGCAGTATTCATCCAGTTTCTCCAGTTTTTCCACAGAAATTGCCTTGTGTCCTGGACTCTGCAACAGGCTGAGCTTCAGGAAGGAGAAGAGAGAAGAAATGAGGACCTGAATGGGGAAAAAGTGGAAAAGAGAGATCAGGCAAAGGAGATGAGCCCAAGGAGCCAAGAAGGAGGAAATGTCAGAGGACAGGTAAGAAATGCAAGAAGGAAGAAAATCAGCCCAAATCAGACAGCGAGCTTCAGAGATGGCAGGAGAGTGGAAAAGTGTGAACAAATTGGGCACCTTTAGGTTAGAGTATCCTAGCAAGCACATTTGCACATTTTGGAAGGAACAGAGAGGGGGCTACAGGGGGGGCACTTCCAGGTACTCAGGGACATGACTTGCCTGGCAATCACTGCTTGAAAGCTGCTCTCCTCCTTCACCTTGCAAGCCCCAGGAGGGCAAAGACAGTATCACTCTGCAGAGGCTTCAGGAGAATTTGTGTCTTGGCACCCCATCCACTGCCCAGGCAGGTGGCAAACACCACCAGCCACCTGCGTCCTGGGCCCCTTTGCCATCTTTTGCTGTTCAGACAGGCCACCCAAACACGTTATACCTTTCTCAGGATCAGGGAATGGATGACCAGGATGTCTCAATCCTATTCTATTACAATAGCCTTGATACTCTAAGCCTGAGCACCATTCAGGTAGATAGACTCTGGCCCATCAGAAAGGAGTGATGGAGGTCTCCACTCTGGAGGTGGCAAGAAGACCACTTCTGGGTATCCAGAAAAAATTGTCCCACAGTTGTACACGTAGGATCCATAATTTCACCTGATCCATAACATTTGTAAAGCACTTTTCCATAGACTTTTCACAAGCTGCAGACTATGCTTTTCTCAACAATGCACTTCTAAGGAGATTGAAATTACCAGAATTTGCTTTGTACTGCAGAGAAAGCCCTGGGCTTATTTCCTGGCTTTTGTTTTCATTCATTATTCAACAATAATTATACCACTGGTTCCAGATATCTAAAAAGTAGCCAAACAGGTTTTCATTTTATTTAATAATACAGACAGGCTGCAAAAAGCCAGGGGATTTAAGCACAGTTGCCATGATCTGCTGGAGACCGGTGACAGGATCCTTCCCAAGGTCCTAAGCCAGTGCAAAGCTAGATTTTCTCAGCTACTGGAGTAATGAGCTCATAGTAGATCTAAGAAAATCACTATATTTCTAGAGAGAATTTTCCAGAAGTTTAGGCTCACGTTAACACACCCAGTAATGAATGATTTTTAAGCAAACCCAAAATAATCTTTCCCAGAAAAGTTTCTTTCATTCCCAGGAGCTGGAAAAAAAGGGCTATAAATCAATGCAAGTTTAAGTGGATAATAAAGAGGTGCATGAGTCCACATAGCACAATCCGTGACCTACAATTTTTAAAAGCCTGAAAAGCAAGACCATTTTTTTCTAAAGCATAACTCTGTTCTGTGGACCTAATTCTCAAGACAGGAGATCCTGTAACAGCCTTAAGATATTGCAGGCACTTTCTGAATTTCCCAGAATATTCTTAAACACAGAATATTAGAAATTTAAAAATATGTAATATGGAAAAGCTATATTTTAAGCATACAGTTTCTCACCATGTCCGGAATGGTTACTTGTTGATGCTTTTGGAATGCACAAGGGTGAGCTGTTAGACTTAAATAAAAACTGTAGGACTGTAGGATAGCTCTGCAAATAGAATTAAACAATATTTGGACCACATTCATATTTGTTCAGTCATGGTAGGTATCATATTTTTTTAAAAAAATAAACCATAATTGTATTAATATGATCCATACTTGGAAAAAAAAAGTTATTCCTAAAATTCTGATACCTGTCCAGAAACCAACATGGAAACAAAGACTACAAAACCCTATTATTTCCATCTGGGTAAAAGTCTGCTATAAAAATAAAGCATTCTAATTCAATTACTCTTCACACAACATATTTGTCTCAAAGTTGTTTCATACACACTTTTCAGAGTCATAAGTAAGTTGAAAAACTTTTCATGAAAAAGTCTGCACTGCAACAGGAAGAATTTAGTGGGTGGGTGTGCATAGGGGACAGCCTTGAGGTCTTTTAATATGTTTTTTTCAGACAAAAACAGGAATAAGAACTGCAGCCTCAGAAGCTCATAAATAGGATTTTAGTCAAGGTTTACAGTATATTAGAGAGAAAGTATTAAATGAGATTCAAATTTTCACATTAAAATTCTTCTGTAAAATGCAGTTTTTCATTCTATTAGATGAGAGTTTGCTTGGAACAGGATCTGAGCTTACTTCTTGGGTTTTATACAAATTGAGCAAGATATTAAGAAAATTGTCTTAATATCCTAATCCTGCTCAAATGGACCCAAAGGCAGGATCCACATTGCTGCCCCTACTTCTCTCCCTGTGCAGCAATAAGCACATGCTGGACACTTTGTCAAAAACCACACAAGCCTCACCATGGCACTCCCAAGTGCTGCCATGTATTGTGAAGACATGAGGCAAGGGTCAGCCCCACCATCAGAAAAGGGGGTTGTGGAATAATAGATTCATCAGTAGAATAATAGATTTCGTCAGTGCCGTAAGTGACAAGCAAGGCGCACATCCCAGGTGGGATTTGGTGGCTCTTCATTCTCCGTTATATTTAATAGGATGTTATCTACACTGTATTCACTCTGGTGAGGGTCACATGTTATTTGCCTTCAATCTCTGCCAGGTGTCTGAGGTGAGCCCTCGGAGACGTGAGAGGGCAGCCTCGTGCAGAAACCAGACCTGACAGCAGCACCCTGTCTTCTCATGGAGCGTGGGGGTGGCAACATCCTCACATGCTTTTTAGAAGTCCTTCAAGGAGAAGCCTAAGTAGATATTGAATTTCACTGCTTCATAGTACAACAAATTCCTTCCAGGAAGAGGGTGAGTGTTCCCGCTTGCATTATTGGATCCCTCTGGCCTTGACATCAATTAGAGTCTCATGTGATGTTTCTCCACAATATGCTGTTGGATATATGAAGCCATATCATTAAATAGGTCACTTTGTCTCTCTTCATTATAATCTTAATTTTATCACTCTACCCACATTATGTGGCGGGGTGTTTATTGGCCTTGAAGTCAGACATAAATGGTAATGTATGGGTGTGCCCTGCCCTTGATGGTGAGTGAACATGAAATGTAGCTAATGGCTTTCGAGGACCTGCCTCCAAAATATTTGGCACCAAGAAATGTTCAGTACAAACGAGGGGGTGACAGTGATTGACAATGCTGTGCAGTCAGCAGCTTAGCTAGTGACCCCAACATTTCCTCATGTCTAGCCATTCCCTGTTTTCCCAGAGAAAGCCGTCTGGCCTTCTGCTGAAGGAGTTTGGGGCCATTTGCCTGAGGAGAGCGCTGGGTAAGTGGGTTTAATCCTGCTGCCTTTCAAGTGACAAAAAGCAGGGTTAGACCCAGTGCAAGAAAATGTCTGCATTAACTACTGTGTGGTGTACCAAACAGCCTGCTGTTGCAGTAAAATATTTATAACTAATCATTTTGTTAAATGAAACATGTACTTTATGGCACTTTCTATAATTAACAGGCCATGTTCCAGTTAATTTTGCACATGATGTTTCACAGTTTATTACCAGGTACTACAAGGATATGCAATAAGTACTCACAAATAACTGCCCATATTAAGATGTAGTATTGCAAACAAAAGCAATTGAGCTTAGTATTATTTGTTTGTAAACAAGTATAAGGAGAGGACCTTTGCCAAACAGAAGATTGGGTTAGTGGGATGATAAAGCAGTAAACCTTGCAATGCATTAACACATTACTGTGGAGCTACATGCATGGAGCAATGAGGATGTTTTAGCAGTTACTTTAATTTTGCTGACAAATAACATTTAAAGATACTGGTATGGTTAAGGTGTACTTAATGATGCATTAGATGACCTGAATGCTGGCATTAACATTGAAATAATAGCTCATTTGAGTAAGGCATTCTCAGTGGACTATGGTCACGTTAACATATTCAACATTTACCACTATCTAATTTGCAAATTATAGACTAAAATAAGACATTTGAGGGGTTTGTGCTGAAGTGAAACCTTGAACAACTGCCATTCATCTTGTCCTCAATAAGTTGGAGGTTGTGAATACACAAAACTCTGAGAGATTCAGTCTAATCTAACCAGAGAGCAGAGATGTTGCATTCTTAGTTCACTGACTTGATCACAGCAATGCAGTGTGCTAAGTCATCTCCTATTTTTTCCTGCTGTGTAAGGACAGAACAGCCACTGCCACCATTTCCCATGGCCACCTGGCAGGACAAACCTAGTCAGAATAGGATTGCTAACCGTGCTTCATCTTGTCAAAAGCTAGAGTAGGCTTAAAAGCAACTAAACCTCATTTATTAAACATTTCCATATCGCAGATGTGGTCTGGGGAGACAGTTCCAAATGCTTATTGAAGCATCTTCTGAGGAAGAATTATCCCTTGGTTAGAGCCAACAAAAGGGGCATCTTGCTCCTGTTATCTCTGCCTGGCAGACAAGCCAGGCTGTACAGCGAGAAAGCCTGGTCTGGTGCACCTGAGCAAGCCTTCCTGCATCAGTGCTTCCTAGCACAAACCCCAGTGCACCCTGGGGAGGCACAGAGTGGGAAAATCCCCTCTGATGCATGCGGATTCCCTTCATCTCTCCCGAGCAGTTGTGTGCTGGCTTGGCCAGTCCATGCTGTCCCCAAGACAGGGGCACAAGGCACCTCACACCAGGGAACCACCACTGTCACATGGGCCAAGCCAGGGGAGCACTGGGGACTCCGCATCCTCATCACCAGGGATGTGCCATAGTCTTGGACCCCAGCACTGCAGGATTAGGCCTTCCTGTGAATCAAGCAGAAACATGGCATTTTCTGTCTTACTCTGAGTGCAAAAGGCTGGGGCTGACTCTGCTGGTTATTTGGAATATCTGGCAATTCTCACATATTTGTTACTTTTACTGGTGCTCTGGGTTCAATTTTTGCAAATTGCTAAACAGCTTTGCCAAGCTTATGTGTGTCTTCAGCTCTCACTGGCTTAATCACTGGTCCTTTGGTAACCAACATCTACTACATGAATTAGCCATCTGTGAAACACTGCCCCACTCTATTTGTGCCAAATCCCCACATCCTTATTTGAGATCAGGGACTGAGGGGGCACAACAAGTCTACATACACAATTTTCTTGCAAAATATTTCCTGGTTGTTTCTGGTTTTAAGGGCTATGTCAATATTTGGGTCATGATCTCTGCAGAGGTAAGCATTTGTCTTTCAGATATAAGGCAAAGCCAGGTGAAAAATTAAGGTCTTTAATGATGTTCAGTTTGAAAGATGACAAAATTATCATGAATTTTCACTGCATTTAACTTCCTTCTTTTTGTTCTATCTTACCTTCATCGATCAGCAGAATAACTAATGTTCCCTAGGCAGTCTTGCTCTGGTTAGGCATATCCATGCTGGTTGCTTTGTTTTGGTGGTGTTGGACCAGTTTCTTTGAGTTTGCCCTAAAACTGGAGGCAGGAGATCTGAAGAGACACTCAACTTGATGAAAAATTCCTGTCTTCCTTTTTCATGCTGAAGCCAGCAGATGGTGCTTACTGCCTTTGCACACTTCTTGGAGAAAGCCTACACTATCTGGCAGTTGGTTTATGGTATTTACCAAGGAAAAGCTATAAGGCTCACAGCTGCTTGTCACTTTTCAGAGAGCTGATGGATTGGGCTCTGAAAGCAAAACACATCCCACAATATTGAGAGATTTAGGATTTCAAACCCCTACAAGTTTGGATGTTTTCGTGAACTATTTTCTGAAGATGCTGCTTTGCTACTATCACAGTAATTGGTGGGGGTTTTGTTGTTTGCTTTTGGTGGTTTTTTTTGTTTAAATTTGGAAGGTAGGAGGAAGAGAGCAAGTTGTACAATCTCCTTGGATGGATTTCAAAGTGAAGCCTACTGTATAGAAATAGGCTGTAAGAGACAGGTTATACCTCTGATAAGGGCTTGCTGAGGCCCAGGGGAGCGAGTTCAAGTTGGGATGATTTGCAGGGAATACTGAGCAGCGTGTTCTTCCAGAAGGAATGCTCTGAGACCTCTTCAGCCTGAAGAAAAAGGTTGATAAGCTCTCAGAAAAGCATCTTCCCAATCCATTCCCAACACTGTTAAAGAAGCACTATCCATCCTCACTGATGAGTGGAGAAAGCTATTGGGTTCCCACATTTGCCTCGGGAGACCTTTACACCCTGAATATTTTCCCAGAACAACTACAGATGTTCTTTCTTCCAGTGTGACTTACATCTGATGGAAGGTGCACAGAGACTGAGTTACGTGGATTAAAAAGAAATAAAAGTAATAAATAAATCAGAGCTGCTCTGTCATTTGGTGATGGAGAGTGTGAGCAGCAGAGTGCTGAGGATAAAAGGCTCAGCTATACATTTACATTAAGCTCCTGTGCAAAGAGCTTAACTTGTTCTTTTCTGTTTACCTATGTATTTCCTTTCTACAGACACAAAACCAGAACAAAAACTTGCCCAGCAGACTGCACCTTCCTGTGAACATCTTTTATTCCATATTAATCTCATTCTCTTCTTCTTTGCAGCTGAATCATTTCATCTCCGTTAGAGCAGCAATTTCTACCTCCAGCCGCAAGTCAACAGCTTTAATAATAGGTAACAATTTTGCTTATCTTTGAAACCAGTAGGAATTCCTTTCAAGAAAATGTGTGTCCAACAAGTTCTCCCTGCTTCCTGCCCTTGCACAGTCAGTGCTACCTGCATTCCTAGGAGCAGCCTCAGGTTTAAACTTTTCCTTTGATGGTAGAAGCAGAAGCAGTATTCTGGGTTTGGATTTTTTTTTTTCTTCATGGATTTCCTGTTGTACAAGCACAGCTAAGTTTTCTACATGGGAGGGCAATTTCTAAACCCGTAAGGCTGTTTAGAAAAGGCAGCAGCCTGGCAGCTGGGCTGGACTAATTTCCTGGCTGCTCTTACCAGCTTTGGCAGCTAACCCAGGGGAGCAAGAGCTGCAGGGAAGCTGTGCTGCTTGATGCTCTGGACCTGCATTCTCAGGTTTTCTCCAAATGACATTGTTTCCTCCTATCTGCATGTTTACAATGGAAACCCAGTGAAATTATAGAAATACTGGTGTTTGCCTGAGACCATCAGCTAGTTCTCTTCACCTCACTGGAAATAATGCAAGATAAAAAATCTCTGATGATTAATATCTGTATGACTCGATCTTATGTGGGTAGTGTGAATCAAGAATTTTCTAAATAATATGGGAGAAGACTGTCTCTGCTTGGGCAGAGGAACCAGGCAGGATCTGGCCCACTGTTACTCCTTAATGAGGAACTGGTGTATTTCAAATATCCGGAGCTGGTATCAATGGCATTCACACTCCGCATTAATCAAGACAGTAAGATAAAAGTAAACATGTGGAATGAGTTTTTAGTTTTCAGCTGTGTCCAGGAATGCTGAGCACCTGCCTTTTAATCTAACATTCTATCAATGCCTTAGAAAATGGATACTGGAAACAAATGAAAAGTGGTTACTGAGGTATTACTGATATACTCACTTTTGGTTTATGTCATGTGCAGGCTGACCAACTTTGTTCCTTAAATAACTAATCTACAAGAAAAAGGCTTGCATATTCAGTTTTCTTTCTGTCCTATTCCTGGAACAAGGTCTTGTTAGTGAAGGCAAAAAGTACTCAGCAACTCCATGACCTCATTTCAGCAAAGAACAGGCAGCTGCCAAACACTGATCTCAATGGGAGATGTGCAAATATGCCTCCTTACTTTGATGGACTGAAGACATAGGAAGGTCTCTAAAATCTGCTTTGCTCCCAAAGAAGTCAGTTGCAAAGCTCCCATTGATTTCAATGAGGAAAAAAACCCACTATGTCAAGGTTAAGTAAATAAATTTATGTGACAAATATAGAGGTCAGAACTCACACAGCTTTGCAATGTAAAGCACTGAGCACCTCTAGCATCACAGTGAGTGCTGTGCTGCCTTGCTATGGTGTGCTTCTTCACTCAGCCCAGACCTTCCCCCACTTAGGCTCTCTTCATCTGCCCACAGGAACAGAGTGAGAGGAGTCACGTCTCCTCCAGGTCACCTTGGGTTTCCATAGTGACTATTTGAATGCGATTGTCTTATCAATCACAACCTCCTTCACTCTCATAAGCAACTATAAAATCTCCCCTGGTTTCTATAGCAACCATGTTTAAACCCATATATTTATTTCCTCTAGGCTTAACTGATTTGTTGAAAACAGTGCAAATTAACTGTGGGTGCAATATTTCTTATATTTTTTTTCCCTTAAACTATCCTTTACAGTCATCAACATCAGAACAACAACAGTTATGATGAAGCTACTGTCCTTTTGTTTCAGTTACTTAGAGACCCTCTTTGCTGCCTAACCATATGCCTCTTAAAGATCATTGTTTTCATGAGAAGATTGAAAACCCAAATCCTCTGCAGTTCAGTCTTTCCCTTCCCAGTTCAAACCCCTATGTCCTTCCATCCCTAGGCACTTAGCAGAAAAAATGGTGCTGTTTTGATACCCCAAATCACTTCTTGTAGTAATATACAGGAATAACACCTTCCCTCCAGTGACCTCAAAGCAAAGTACAGTTGTTACTTAACAGAACACTGTTACTCAGATGTTATTATCGGTGTAGTATAAACAACATGCACAATGTTAATGGCCCATCTACACTGTAAACACAATAAATGTCAAGAAGGTTGTGGGTTTTTTTCAACATAAATGTAGTAACTGCAGACAAGGCTGATACCACATTGTCCATGGCTTCCTTTCACCAGACAGCAGGCAGATGTGGAGTTGTCTATAGAGCTGGCACAATCACAACTACACCTTTACTTCATGATCTGACTATAGACACACACTGTTTGACTTGGGAGGTAGGTCAAAGCCATACAGCCACTTGCCCACTCCCCTCCCCAGCCCCTGGTGGGGGTGAGAATTGGGAGGGCAAAAAAGTACAGTTCATGGGTTGAGATAAAGACAGTCTAAGGCAACAGAAAAGGAAAGGATAATAATAATAATAATAATAATAATAATATACAAATCAAGGGATGCACAATACAGTTGCTCACCACCCATAAGAATGTTCCTGATTCAAGGTTATAAAGTTATTAATAGACTATTGTTCTGCTTTGAAACTCTGTGGCAGTGTTGTCTGGGATCCTCTTGGTAGCAGTAAGTTGTAGACATACCAGATCTACCTCTCTGCAACTTCCAGGTTACACGGAAGGATAGAACAGGAAGAGAGGTGCTCAGCTTCATCTGTAGTGCTGGTTTCAAGCTGTCCTGAGTTTTTCTTACTCCTCTTTCTCTATAGTAGGAAAACAATTTTGATTTTGGAGCAAGGTGAGAGAATTGTTCGCTTTTCTCTTAATTTCTAACTTTTCTTAGAAACTTTTGGTCCCTACACTGTATCCCTCTGCTCCCTCTTGCCCAGAGCTGCCAAGGTGCTGTCACGAGGCAAGTTTATGCCTGTGCAATGGGATGAGCAGCATGTGCAGAAACACTGGCAAAACTGCAGTCAGTCCACCTTGCTCCTGAGAAAAAGGGTTACTAACAAACTTCAATACGTTTAAGGAAAAGTGAAAAAAGAGCCAGGAGGCTGGATTTGTGGTCACACACTAGGAAAGAGAAAGAGAGTTTTGTGTCAGTTGGTGGGAAATTCAGTAACTGAAATTTTATGGGTATAGAGGAGGAATACATCGAGATGATAAAAAGGAGAGGAATTATCTACTTCTAAAATTAAAAAAGAGGAATATGCAGTGACTCAGGATCACAATTCTGAGTTCACAAAAGGCAGTCGGTACTGCAGGGGCTTGGACCCCCCCCAGCTGCCTGGCTATGCTTAGGGAGGTTTCCCTGTTTTTCCAGGGTGCACCATTGATGGTCCTCACACTGAGCTGTATGTGAAGGAGAGGAAGGGGCAGCAGGAAGCCTAGAGGCTGACTCTGAGAGCTCCTCCAAGGAGAGGTGGATGTGGCCAAACTGTATTCAGAACCCCCCATGACGTAAAACTATTTATGTTCAGTAAGAAACATGATCTGCTTGTGACAGGAGGCGGGGACCAGGCAGTCCCTGACTTGCCCAGTCAGGGGCTGTGGTGTGCCAGCACAGAGCAGAGTGCAGAGCTAATGGTGTCCCACCTGTCAGTGCGGGGAGGGAGTCACTGGTGTCTTTGCTGACTATGAGCTCAGGACCATGGCTTTGTTGCATTGCTTCAGATGTGGCCAGACACTCCAGAGCACGGCACTGCAGCTCATTGCTCTTAATACTGCAACCTCTTTGCTCATACAAACTTCAGAGCAAACTCACTTCTGTAAAGAAATGCTTTGCAGAAACTCAAACCCTGTTGAATAGGAGCTTGGCTGGAGCTGTTCTTCATCCCTAATATTTTAATATACATTGTTTTTTCCCCACTTAGATGCTCCCCAGATGCACACAGCTTTCAGCTCTCTGTGCAGGCTCCTGCAGCATCACTGTATGCTACCAAGGCTCTTGCAAACCTGGTTATAAATCTGCCAGGTACCAATCAGAGTGGGGATGCCACGGACCCAGGTGACTTAGAGTCTGCAGGGGAGATGGCAGCAGGCAGAGAAAGGGCACAAGGAAGACGTGGAGCAGGACTAACTAGCAGGAAGAGCTGCTTTCTTCAGGCAAACACTTGCAGGACCTCTGCCTTCCTTCAGTGAAGGGTTGCTACTGCTGGTTAAACCTTCCTGAGAAAACTCTGACAACCTCATTCTCCAAAACACAATTCTTAATATATTTGGGCCCATTGCATTTGACTTGGCATAATAAGAAACTCACAGGTTTATATAAAAACTGCTTAACATGAAGCTGTTCTTATTTAAATTTCAGCTTATGTGAGGGAATGCTTAGAAGCCGTACAGCACCGATCTTTTACCTTCACATATCTGAAGTTGCTAAAATCATATAATCATAAAATGATTATATAAATATATAAATAGAATATATAATAAACATCATATTTTATATGTCTACTGTTGAGGTCTACAGAAGCCGCTGTTATATACTCTTTCTATGCAGATGTCCTGAAGTAGTCCAATAGCTGAATGTGTAACTAATATATAATCTGTTAAAAATAAACACATGCCCATTGCTGGCAATAGAAGAACATTTACAAATCTGAAGTCAAATACTCGGGAATTGGGAAATGCCAGGGTTGAAGCTGTCTCTGCAGTAGTGTCTCAAAAATGCTGCAAAGAACAGAGCATTTCTTGCTCCACTTCCCACCTTCCTCCCCAGGCAGGCTGAGCTCCTCTTCCTTCTCTTTCCCCTGTGGACTTGGGTTGCTGAGGAACAGACCTGCTGGTTTTTGGCTTGCTCTGTGCTTCCTTCTATGTGACAAGAACACAAGCCATTTATGTTACTGTGGATACATTTGCTCTTACCTAAAATTGAGGAAAGGGGCAGCTGGGGAGAAGGGGTGAGAGAGGATGTTTTGCATTGTGTTTTTTTTCCTAAAGCCCGTGGTCGAGTGGGTGTGAAGCCTGTGAGAACACAGCTCAGTATGGACAGCAGGAGTGCCATAGCAGGGGCAGATAAGGAGCACATTTCTTGCATGGACTAAAAGCCTCATTCCCCTTGTCTCAATTTTCAGAGC